AATCACATTCCGAATTTTTACATATATATACATATTATATATACATATTATATATAAATGTAAGAAAAATCTATAGAAAGTGGAGAAAGTTACTTTTCCAAAAGAAAAGAGCAACAACAAAGTAATTTGTATTGCTAATATCGATTATGATAAAAAAAAAAGTTAAAAAACTTTATTTGAATCCGACAAAAATGACGAGTTTAATTTCTTTACTAATAGATAGTATCTCAGTTCAGCTGTTCGTTGCATAGATTCTCCACAGTATTAAACAAATGCATCTATTTTACACAATATATAATTCATCTAATCGTTTTGGCAAGAAATTTCATCATGGCAAGAAATTTCCAAATTTTGCAACGATATCTATATAATATAGAACGTCACTCTTTGCAAATAAACTTATAGAAAACCCCATGGAGCTTATAATTTATAGTGCAAAGTTATAATTTATAGTTACAAAGATATACAACAAAATTTATTAATATAACCTAACGCTAAAACCAAGATCCTTATAAAATAGACGTCCTATGCACGTAATATCATGGAAACGTCATAAAATATTACTCATCTAAAGCGGTGTAGCATATATTTTAACTTCTCCGCTAAACAAGTTATAGAACTCATGATCAAAGTATTAGCCATGGAAGTATTTAAATCCAGAATACCAACTCAACAATCAGATTATAAAATTTTACCTTTAGATTACATGCGATATCAAACATGTATTTATGCAAAATTCTTTGCGTTGAAAATATGATTATATGGAAGCATTTTTCTCTCCCCAATTTAAAAAATAAAAAATTACTAAATTAAACATATTTTTTTAAGTTTTCGCCAGATACTTTTAATCCCGGTGCATAGCTGCTTGTGCCACTTTCCGCAGCGTAGAAATAAAAGAGAATTCTTTGAAATCTCTAAATTAAAAATATCTTGAGCTTGTTGTGGAAAACTTGATATTCCGTCCTCTCATGTGAAAATTAAAATTCTTAAAATTTTTAACATTCAAAAGTTCATAAATAGCTCCTAATTCTGAGTTATTCGCTTTTTTATTCCTACAAGAGCGAACAGATGGAGAAGTTCTTTCGAATGTGTGTTAACGCTACGCCCTGCAGCGCGACTTTCTTGCGAAATTGCTATTCCGAGCGGCCGCCTCTGATCTATCTCTTTCCAGTTTTACCGGTCTCCTTTCAGGCAAATAATTTGTCAAGCTAGGAATGAAAATACGGCTTTGAGAACGCGGCTGCGAGAAAACAGTCCGATTGATTGCCTATCCCCAGGCAGTGACCCAACACTCCCCCCCCCTCCCTCCTCCCTCCTCCCACCGTTATTCCTTAATGGAAGTTGCTGTGTTCACGATCTCTTGTATACATTATCTCATCGAGCTTGTTTACATTACTTAAGCCATTTGCATCACGAACATAAGTGCATCGCGAGTAAGCTAATAACAGGAGCTGTCAAACGCCAATTAAATCGGATTATCAACTGTCTCGCTGCTCTCAGTGTATAATGGCTTCCCTGTTTAAATATTTTAATTATGCTTGTTATAATTATCAAAATAATTGTTAACAATTTGACAATTAGATTACGTCGGAAATGAATAATGCGGACATTGAAAAACACACATTCATTGGACAGTTAACGTCATGCTCGATATGGGTCACTTAATCCGCAGATTATTACATATTCGATAATATCAACAACCAAATGCCTGCGGCGTATTCTGTTTATAGTACACATTAAATACCGCTTTGTATATATGTGCAAGGCTATGCCATTGCTACCGAAAAAGGATTTTTGAGATACATGTTCCTACAAAAATATTTTAGCAACAGGAAATTTCTGATAAAATAATGAAAAAATAATCTTAGCAACATATCTTAGATAAAACAACCCTAAAATCAGCTATTCAATAAATACAAATCCATTGTAAATCCAAAATAAATATATCACTTCATAGAAATTCTTATATATTTATAAAATTTTTATCAAACGTATTCTCTTGTTATCTTTTATTCAACATTTAATCCTTTTTATTCAACGTTGCGATATGCAATGTTAAAATGTTTATTTATATAATATTCATGTCCTTGCGCGAATACACGCAACGTATGAATATAGTATATCCCATCGAAATTTCACGCTATCTTAGAAAGGCGTAATAGGTAGGTTATTCACACCAAGGGATCAATTAAGCGTAGATAAACGATAATATACTGCTGCGAATACATAAATTACATCATTCGATGAGCACGGGTTTACGCATCGGCGAATTGCTTAATAAACCGTATTAACGATTAGCCGATAATCCCTGACGGTGTTCGTTCCGTAGTTCTTAAAACGAATCTCATATTGGGAACGCAATTTTTACCATATTATATTATTATACTTCAAATAATAACCGCTTTGTTTGCATCACGTTACAGCAACTATTAATTATGCCGGAAGATAAAGTTGATTTTAAATACGTAGTTAGTAAAAAGCGGAGAGAGAGAGACATGAAAAAGAAATTAGTATAGCAATTCTCAGCACAGTAATTTCGGATATTACTGTGAATACATACATTCTCTCTTATCGTTAAAAATCCATTAGCAAATTTAATATAATGTCGCAAAAAATACAACTACATAATTTTCATTTGCTCTTAATTTTTAACATTAAGTATCTTGATAATTAAGTCAGGTTAAAAATCTACTTGCTCACAGGGAAACAATAACTATTATTACAGGAAAATGAGAACAGTTTCTTCTTTTTAGCGTTTATAATTAGTAGAAAATGTAAGTTACGTAAAATAATTGATATAAATTTAATATTATAGATTGTAAGTTAATTAAATAAAAAATTTAAACTCAATAATTTATTTGAAATGTGAGAAAACTAATGTGTAAAAACTAATATAAATTGAATGCATCTTCATCGAAACAAAGCAGAATCATAATAATATAAAATGTACAATGCCAGATAGTCTCTTTTGTACTTTCGCACCTTCTCAGCTTCTAAAATATGCACGCCCTCAGTGAACCGCGGGCACGGTTTGCGAAAAAGAACCTTTCCTCAGATATTTAAAATTCCGCGTGACCACCGTATGCAAATCACTCGGAGCTGGTGTGTACCTGAACTGATATATACCGCCCGGAGGAAGCGGAAAGGCGAAAAAACGGCTAGTGTGATTAAAAATTCAGTGCCATTTTTCTATTTCCTACCAATAGCACAAGAACCTATTGCAATATTATGGTTGCACATAAATTTTTATTTGATGGAATTGACATGTTAAATATTATTACTTTTTTAAAATCAATTATTATTAAAAATAACTTCTTTTAAAAAAGCAATAATTGAAATTTTATTAAGCCATTTTTAATTTTTTTTAAATAAATTATTAAAAATAATTTTAAATGGCTTAATAAAATTTTGTTATTATTATTAAATACTATAAAAAATGATAAAATATCTTGAAATATATTACATTTCACAGATACTTTACTAAAATATTATAGATATTTTGTAAATATTTTCGTCATCTCTGCACTAAATTGGCGATAGTAAAGTTAAAGAGCTATTAAGCCACTAACTCAACATGTAATCGTATCTATCAAAATAACCTATCTTGATAAGCGGCTTTACACTTGATCAAGATTCGAGGACATCGATTAAAAGCTCTTTATAAATATATCCTTCAAGTCGCTAAATTCGAAAACAACTCTAACGAAAGAAATATTCTCATGTCAATGATGATAATTTTCCATATAAGTACTCTTCGTTTAAACCATCGCAAAAAAAAGTATACAAATTTTCTTCTTCATTGGCTCATTACACTCTTAGGAATGTATGGCCCAATGCCAAAAAAATAAGACTGTACGAATAATTTTCAACACACCATAAATAAGCGTATAATTATTCACGTAATGTAATACTAAAATTTACTCACCAACCAAAGCCCCGCCGCTACGTTTTGTTGGTGATTGCTCCGTGATTGCTCCGAGTACACACTTTCCATTGCACTAATTGTCTCTACAATACGACCGCTCAAAATTCAATCAACACTCGCGACACTCGCAACACACACTCCCGATACACTCCCGAACGAATAAATAACACGAAACGCGACAATCGTGACTTTGCTCGACACGACCATTTCACTCCCGAGATACGTTTAAAAAGGTTTAAAAACGGAGACAACTTCGCTTTGATGCTCGATGATTCGGCGAATTCGACGAATATCCGATACGACGCGACGAGCTTGATTATATGCATGACGAAAGACTGGTAATCACCGCACGTTAATTAACATTCTACAACGATAGCCCGTCGTTGAATTCGACATTCTCGACATACGTTTAAACGTAAAATGCACTTCGACGAAGAAAAACAGGATAAAGTTCCGAAAGAGTCAACCCTCCGATTTTGCTGTCGATTGATATACTACTGTATTTTAGTGCGCTGATTACGAATATGATCATGAAAATTACTGACAAAGTCATGGAAAATTACTGACAAGGTCAGGAGGTTGACTCTTTCGGAACTTTACCCGAAAAACAAACGTGAAACGCAGGACGACACTCGTCCACATTTAACATTTTCGCAACGGCACGTTCGCAGTACTAGAAACTTATAAACTGAAAATCGAGTGGTAGGGATAAGCCCAATGCTGAAAACTATGTTTGTAGTTTACTCGTCACCACTAGAGGCGCTGTACATAGTAAATTTTAAAAACAAGCATCAATATTTGACTTATTGAACTATATAATATACTAAAAATGTACTTTAAAAGAATAAAAATGATCAATTATAGAAAAAAGAGAATAATATAAAACGAGAACGTTTATCTCTTTTACAAATTAAAAAAAGAATAGAATGAAAGAGAGATAGATATTCTCGATTATAAAGGCATCTTTTTTCAATCATGATCGTGATTTATTCAACTATATTATTTGATTGTTCAATGATTAAGCTCTATTCCCTCCACTGAAGTTTCCAGTCTGTATAGCTATGTACGCGGTTTACCACGTCGAATCAGCAAGCATCAATACGAAGTTGCTTCCATCTCAGGAATTTTTTAAACGTTTCTCAAGAGCGGGATATCGAAGTAGTAGAGCCAAGTTGTGAACAATCGTCATTGTTTTGCATTATTTATTGTTTCGAAAATGTACCATGTGTGTAACCGCGTGTCGCGAGTGTCAGATAAATAGACGGTCGTGTTGTAATCAATTAGTGTCACAAGTTCGAGACAACGCTGTATTAACGAAGTGCACGGCGATCGACTTGTGAGTATATGTTAAGGTTATGTTATGCGATAAATTATTCTCGTTTCTGTGTCAAACTAGGTATTGCTAAGAGGAAGCAAGTGTTCTTGCACACTTTCCTTAAAGAACTGTGACAGTTCTGGACCATTCCGCATTGCGCTGCAATTTCGACTGTATGTTAATGCTATTCCCGTGAGATATCCGAGGGCAAACGCAAGGCATGCACGAATCTCATTTATCGAGGTAAGATCAGTCGTAAATTTAGTGATTTAAACGTCATCGTATATTGTCGCGTAATTCCTCGTTTCGTGATATACGAATATTGCGTGTCGCGATGTATTGGCTTTACGCCTGAAAATCAGATGCATGCACGTAGTAGAAAAATCACGACAAAAGCCGCGCCTCGTTAAATCCCAATCTGATGTATCGTCTTGTTAAATGAGCGTCGTCTTTAAGAACTTGACAATCTTATAACAGCAATAACTATACGCTTATATCTACAAGCTCGTGTTGTTCAAGATGAATTCGATGCAATTAGTGCAAGACTGCGCGCTTGAAGCTATAAAGTGAACCAGCGCGCAAACTTTATACCTAGCTACTAGGTACATAAATTACAGTACATTATTATCTTGTCCATTGGATCGAAAAATCAGCAGCTTATTTAATTTACTTTCTTGAAAGTAATTATATCCATGCAATTTGTAAAAAATTCGTAAAATTATTCAGAAAAATCGATATTTAAAAGTATGCTTTATTTGTTTCATAAATAAATATTTTGAATTTTATAATCTTACAAAATGTACACCAGGTCACACAAATGCCTTGACATATGAAGTTGCACGGGTGTCAAGGCATATCGAGTCGGCGTGTTTCGACTCTACATATTTTTACATCATGACTATGGTTATAAACACAACGGCAAAGCTGTTTTGACTGTTTCAAAGCAACTGGAACAATTGACAAATAAAGGTTAATATTTATAATATCAATCAATTGCTCCAGTTGTTTTGAAATAGCCAAAACAGCATTGCCGTTATGTTCATAACCAGTCATGATGTAAAATATGTAGAGTCGGAACACACCGACTCGATATGCCTTGACACCCGTGCAACTTCATATGTTAAGGCATTTGTGTGACCTGGTGTACGAAGGCTAAAGCAAAATTTTCGACACTTGTCTGTTTTTATATTTCTTTAATCAAAGCTTTATATAACATTACAACTATAATACGCTCATACAATTAACAAGTATTCACAAGTTTCATTAAAATTCTTAACTAGAGTACAATTTCTATTTACTTAATTTTTCTAATTAAAAATATTTACATTTTAAAGAGGTATTAATGCTCATGAAACAATTATTGTACTGTAGTTTGCAACAAAATTTTTTAATTTTGCACGCGTTAGAAAACTTTAACCAATTAAAAATGTATTCCGGATTGCACACACCAATATCATGTGTAAAATTTGAAGTGCTTCTCTTGCATGAGTATGACACATTCCAAAAGCTGCGAATATCAACCATGCGTTATTCACAATTCTCACTTGACGGCCTATTGTGCGAACACGTCGACTCCCCTTTGAGAAATGCTTTCCCTCTCGAGATCTCTTTTTCGAGAGGAAACAGAGATTGCTCAGTGCTTACATGAGAGACTCCTAGAACGTGGCAAAGCCTCATTAAAATTAGAATTTTCGAGTTGTTCCGTTTCAGACCGACGCTTGCAGCAACAGACAAAACTTCAATTTATCTAAAATCTATCTACGAAATAATCCGATGTACTTTAAGTAATTCTAACTAGTTTATTAATAAAAATAAAATAAAGCTTTGTGTATAATAATTCTGGTCCGATAGAATTATTAATTTTAATTTTTTTAAATTGGAAAAATTATAACTTAGGCAAATCAGGCTTTTGGAATTACTCATTTAATATGCGTGTCTTTATGTTAAATGTAAGCAATTATTTTAAAAATTTGTCAATATTTAAAAGTATGAAAAATATGTGTAAAAGTATATGGAGTATCCTAATATACAAAGTATCCCAGACTAATCGTATTACCCTTTAATAACAGATTCCTGATCATTTGGAGAAAATCTTTTTACAAAAATAACTGCTACAATAGTTTTTAAATGCTCCAAATTATCTCAGAAATTTGCCAATTACAGGTGACACGATTTGTCTGAGACATCCTGACACTCAGATATTATCTGCAAAAAAGTTGGAAGATTTGATCTGCAAAGCATCTTTTGGGCGTCACGGCGCACAAACATGAGATCTGACGTCTTGAGACGTAAGTAGAACGAGGTACGTGTAGTCAGCCCAAGAAACGAGTGGGCGGAAGCGAGCGTAAGCGAAAGAAAGGAGATCGATGAAAGATACGACGAAATATGAGTCGTTTTCCCCTACGTTGCCATAAAAGTTTTTCGTTTTAGACATCTTTTATGTTATCAAAGGCCATCTTATACTAATCAAAGGCAATATCTACGTTTCACTAAGTATAAAATATTATTTTGGAAAAAGTATATCAATAGTCGAGGTGTTTAAAAGTAGAGATAAATTTAAAGATAGCGTCAGCAGAGCTACTATTTCTGTAACTTAATGTCTACTTAGAAGTTTTATCTATTTAGACCCAATTACACCTTGGTCTGAGACAACTTGAAAATTCTAATTTTAATGAAGCTTTGCCAACTTCTCTGGGAGAATCTCTGTAATGTAAGCAAGTATATAAGGAAATTATTCTAGGATTCAAATCAGAAGTTTATATGTATATCAAAATTTGCGTTTTTCGAAAATCAAAGTTTTTCTAAAAATAATTTATCTCTTCAATCTTGTAGCATATTTTTTTGTTGCTCTTTACTCTTCTGATTAATACAAATCGACATATCAATTTGTTTACAAATATGGTAGATTATTTTTTATTTATAACTAAAACGTTTTATAATTATTTCAATTATAATTATTTATAGCTAAAAGCGTTCTGTAATTTTAAAAAGCTGCGCGATATATATTTATACGGTTTTTTAATACAACTTTTTGGCTCATATTATAAATATATCCCGCAAGTTACATTTAAGTTGGAGACAGTGCATTCCAGTGATTTAATGCCGCCTCAAACAAAGCAAAACTATATTCGTATGAAAGATTGCTTCTGTAGTTCTTGTGCGAATGTTAAAACACGCGCCAGAACGATGACTGGGAAGCGGGCTGCTATAGAATGAAAACAGAACAAGAAAGGCAGCGGAAAGTCAAGTTGTCAGACGAATAAGACAAAATAGAAAGTCTGTAGAAACGTAACGAAATAAGGAGCGCTCTTTTAGTAGCATACGACAACTCGAAAAAACTCGTTTTAACAGAACGCGTAAGAGTACATTATTCGAGAAAACTAAAATTCTGCTTTGGAAACGGATTTTTCATAGTTATTTTATTTAGTTTATGTTTAGTTTTAAATGAATTGATGCGGATGTTATATGAAGTTTTTACGCTACATATTTTTATTTCAAAATTAAAGCATCTCTTCTCAGAAATGTTGTGTTCTGTTCTAGAAATTTTTCGAAAGAGGGAAAAGAATTTTTTATTACCATTCGGATTATTATATATATATATATTTTGATTCTTACAATAAATATAAAAGTATTATCACACTTAGAAATTTGATACAATATAATCTTTAGATGATCTTACGATGACATTATCCACAATTAGCAATTTAAAATAATATATTTAATGTAATATAAGTAACATTGTTGCAAAGAAATCACACATGTTCAAAACATCCGGAAAAATCGCGAAGAGATGATCGTATGCGTTGAAGCTCTGATATATAAAATTGATATATTCATACAGAGATATTTGTCTTAAATTTTTATATCATATAGCTCAGAATTCTTCCGACCCATTTTTTTTTAGAATTAACTTTCAAGTACCGTATCGAAGATTATCCTTTGAAGGGATAGAGCGTTATTTTTTACAGACCATCGCGCACGTCGATGGCGCGTACTGCTAGTATTTCGAGTTTTTTTCGTTTTACACATTTTTGATCGATTCACCAACACATAACGCCTGACGAGTCGCCGGGAACAACCTCAATTTTTTCGACTGGCTCGATCGGATCATCTCTGTTGCACGTCGACCAACTACCGTGGGTTGCAGAGGGGAAAAATGTTGCATAAAAACTCTGTTCCGTTTACAATAGCCGCGCGTTAATAAAGTTGCGGAGTGTCGAGAGGATTTAGAAAAATATGCGCACCACGTTGTCTGTGGGAATTATAAATTTCCGCGCGTATGGCGAATACAAATGCTCGTAAAACTTGACGCGTTGCATCCGACATTTGGCAAACACATATTCTGTTAAATATGTATGGTAATCAGTGCCATCAGTTTTAATCTTGTTAATAGATTTAATCATTTATTATTGTTATCTGTAAATAAGATCCGACATAATGTGCGGTGCATCTCTCTCTCGTTTTCATATCCACAAACATATTTCCTTACATTTTGTTTCATGCTGCACAAAAAGTAAATATACGAAGTCCTTCGCTATTCCAAAGGCAAGCAGTTCTCTTTTTTTCTTCATTTGCACGAGAAATCTGTAACCGCGAATATCTTTGACAGAATTATTTTTATATTACATTTCACACTACAAACGCATCCGGGACAAAGAGATTTTACGCGCGACATCTTACGCTTTCCAAAGGAAAAGGTTTTTTTTCATTCTCGCGGTATGGTCCACGGGTCGGAAACGTGAAACCTTGGCAAACGTAATTAACCACGATATACTTTCAACATAATTAAAATCACGAAACGCGTAAAGGAATTAGCTTAAAAGGCGCGTTGTATGCGCAACAGGGTATAATTAAGCGAATACTGTTTTTTAAAATATCTGTTATGACCTGCTTAATTATCCGTTTCATATATGTATATAACATACCCGCAATACAAAGCGACAGAGCTTCCATTTGGCAGCATCCAAATAATTAACAAAATCCCGTAATGGTGAAAACATTGTCGCCTGCTTCGATATTTCGTATCGCGCGGAAAACAAAATTGCGCCAGCCAGCGTAATTAACAAAACTATTATCCTTTCTGCGAAAAATACGATGTTTAATGAACTCCGGTGCTGTTCACATAACGGGGATTACAATATTGCTACGTGTATCGCAAACAATTTAACAACATTTTAGAATAATTTTTTTGAAGAAAATTTAAAAAAATTGTATGCGTTTAATTATTCAGTGTCTATACACATAAAGCTTTTTCTTTTAATTCAACCTCAATAGATGAAATAGAAAATAATGATTTATTTATGTATTAATTACTTTTCACTGCTGTCATTTTTTCATCAATTGCTTTGATCTTTTAAATATTTAGTTTGTCTTGTAAACACTTTATTTCATAAACATAAAAGAAACATAAAGAAAAAAAGAGAAATGCACCTTTTTCATATAATGTTGCATATAATGTTGGTTGCTATTTCAAAATAACAATAATATATTATTAAATTTATTAACGAAATAAACGCTTTAATTATCTACTTTAATTTAAATTAAATACTAAAATAATAGAATATACTTATTTATATTCAATGACTATTGTTTTAATTTGACACTATTGACGCTTGTTTACAAAAACTGTGGAAAAAACACGAAACAAATTCTATTACACGTTTGCAAACTAGTACAAAACTAGTACACTGCAAAATAAATATTAGGTAAATATGTGAGTTAAAAAAAAAGATGAACACGTGCCGCCTGCAGCACAGTGTGAAATTTACCTAATGTAGAAGAATAGAATATTTTACACTTTCTTTCTTTTTTGATAAAGTAGATGAAAGTAATGCAAAAACCTGACAGAACTCGAAACATTTTATTTCTTTTACATTAAATGCATTTTGCTTTAACAGAACTTTCGATTTCAAATTACCAAGCTATTGAACGTTAAAAATGGAAAAGTTGCAACAAACGATGCGACTCCGATATTTTTCTATAAAAAGTTTCCGTTTTACGTACAAAACGTATAAAGAATAAGCTTTTAATATTTCATGCGATTTATTCTTTATACAACGTTCATAAGTAAATATTTAATCGATCGTATTTTACTTGTAAATCTTCCGCAACAAGCGACCGATATTATTCGGAACGTGCAAACGTTAACTTACAATTTCTGATATCCCGGTCACGACATCGCTTAACACACCGACGCGGTATAATTCGTACGTGTGGGTCGGAAAAAATAATAGGTACCTCAGCTACACGTGCGTTTATCGCTATCTCGTGCACCGCAGACACAAGAAGCGCACCGAGCAAGAAAAATATTTTTACTGCACCGGGGGTTAGCACACCACATACACAGACACACACATACACACACGCTCTTGCTGTGACGCAACTATTATGCAACAGTAGTCTCGTTAAGACCACGCGAAGTATGCCACTTCCACTTTATCACACTGACCCACCCCTGTTTCCCCAATGAACAATTTTATTCTTTTCGCGCAAAGTTCTTCCATTTTATCGAAGAAATTATACATTGTGCCTTATCAATTAATCTCCCAACATGCGACTTTTGATAGCTCGGAAAATTAAAAGTCAACACGACAATCGGATTGTCGTAAATTTCTAAGTCAATAAATCTGCCATAAATATTAAAATTTGTTAACGCGACATCTGCGCTAACTCTCATTAGTTTTTCTCAGGCTCTATATCTTTCGGAAACATATATGTAAGCGCGTTGCTAATAGTTCACTTTTAAAAGTCTCACAATACCAAAGGAATTAAGTTACAATAGTAAAATAGAAAACTTATGTTTTTCGGAATTGGGAATTAAAATCTGATATAAAATTTGGTATTAAAACGAGATTCTCGGTATTTGAATAACCGTTTTCCATTAAAAGAGAACAATTTTCCCTCTTTAAAAGGAAGAGCAATTGAACATGGCCGTGGCTTAATATCATCGAATTTCAAATTAACCGGAACGAACAGACAAAGGGGATACTTTGGTTTCGGGCGTTGCCCCGACGCAATGCTTAATCAAAGTGGCTTACGCAAATTAATTTATGCCTACGCACGTTCATGGTAATCATAGCCCACGCAAAACTCGGTTCAGGTATACATATGCCTGGGATGCTCGTATAACGACTTCGGCTTACGCGCACGGTGCATTCAGGTGATTAAACTGGCCGTAAGGTATTTTCCAGATAAGGGGAGAAACGGAAAAAACCGACACTCTGATAATTATACCGATCTGTGAGCACATCGACCTCATCATGAAAAAAGGGGGAAAAAAGAGAGAGTAATCACGGACTTTTACACGTGCATCTGCATTATGCGATGGATGATTAAAAGATTAAATAGTGATGAATTTTCTGGAAAAAAACGTGTTATTAATTGCCAGTTTTTTCCGACATCTGACGTTAATTAGTCGTTTCAATTTTACATTTATTTGTTTAGACATTTATATCACTTCTCAAATTTACCATCAGCAGCTTAATACGGATTAAATCGGAGAAAATAAATTTATACAGTTTAAATATTCTGTATAAAATTGCTCGCATTGTAACTTGTAACGCGATATATGCTTTTGATACACAAACATACTGAATGAAAAGGGTATAAATTTTATACGATAACAAATACCATTTTCCACAAATTCTCATGAGCATAAAATAAAAGCATATAACCATAAAAGCTGATATCTATTATGTTATGAAACATTTACATTTTTATCTGTTACAAAACATATTTTATATTATTATAAAAATAAATAACATTTATTGTGCA